CGCTATTTTCTGATCTGTAATGATGTTGTTTCCTCATCACAAACATACCTGGAGTTGTGTTTTGTTTCATTCACACATGTTTACAGGGTATCCCCAGGTTTGACTACCCCAAATTTAAGACTTTTAAAGACCTTTTTAAGACTATTTAAATGAAAATCAAGACCAACATCGCACCCATTATGCGGGCGAAAAACACCAGATCCAATTCTAATGATGACCAACCAACTACTATATCTAGAATTTTAGTGCCACTGTGGATTAAACCTACACTTCCCCATGATCCATCCAACATCTTCCTCCACTGTACTGGTTTTACTCATTTCCGCCGGCACCAGAAACCAAAGTATTGTTTGCACATGCTCCAAATTAGACGTTTGTTCACATTTAGTGATTTCTCATTATTGTTTTTGCATCTCGGTTGAGTATACCAAAAAATAGGCTAAAGAAATTTAAGACCATTGTGATAATAAAAATAAGACTTGGACAACATAATTTAAGACTTTTTAAGGCCTTAATTTAGGAAGTTGTAATTTAAGACCTTTTTAAGGCTTTTAAGACTCTGCGCCTACCCTGGTTTAACACACAAATCCTCTCTTTGAAAACGCTTCACTAGAATAATTTTATTAATTTCACCCTGGAATTGCCAATCTCAGTTGAACTATAAGAGATAAATAGTGGCTGACAACTTGAAAAGCAAAACAACATGACTCAGACATGTGTGAATGAAACAAAACACAACTCCAGGTATGTTATTGAGAGGAGAACAACATTATAACATGGCTTAAAGTTCACAAGAGTCAGTTTTGTGTAATAAAGGACCTTTAACATTTTCCTTTTCTTTCCTTCTTGTCACTTCTAGAGCTGCGAGATTAATCACAATCAGATCGAGATTGCACTTTGAATGGTCGCAATTAGCAAATGGCAAAGCCTGTAATTTTGAAGCACCATAATTTCCTCCACAAACAACAAACTATCCTGTCTTATCCTGCATAAAAACTGCTAACCATGTATTTTCAGTCTGTACAAACAGGTTCTGTAATGCAATTCTCCTTGTATTTGGTCAGTTCATATCTCAGTATTTTTGTCTGGACGAGTAAGACCTAAATCACAAATCAAATCACAATCACAGTGCTTGTCAGAATAATTTTTTTTCCCAGATCTACTTACATCTATTGTTGGAGTGTAGTAGAGGTACAGTGAAGTCTGGGAATTACTCCAGCAACTATGGACCAAAAAGCATGGTCAATTTGGACAATTAATTCAAGCTAAAAAATGGCAAACAACAATTCATTAACACATTCACTTAAAATGTGAAATAAAAATACCAGAGTGAGTAATAGATGAGCTAATCATTCCGCACCCGTGCATTTTATAATAACCAACACAATAATTTCAATAACAGTTATGATAATGATTATAATTTGTCCGCAATCACACTGACAACAAGTTCAGGCTGCTACAAATAAATACAACATTTAACACTATAACCGTCTGGACTTGGGAATTTCTCACTCTCCTCCAGGGTAATCAACATAGGCCTTTTAAACAAGTTCTCCCAATTAAAAGCGTGCCAGTTAATCCACTCTGATCCGTGTGGGGGAGCGGTCAGCCTCGCGAGCAGGTCTGATTGATTCTGAACCAATCTTCTCCACACGACCGCTGCCCAGGATGTAATGACCTGCGGCTAAAACTCAGATTTCAACCATAAAGCTCAAATGGACCAACTGCAGCCACCTTATGAGCTCATAGAGTTTGGTGCTGACGGTTAGGTGGAATTACAGTGTTATGTTAGAGATGAAAGGTGGATAATTGAAAAGCAGTTTGTAGTTTTTGGTGAAGTAATTAGTTAGATTTTTGGCGGGTGTAGTTGCCGTCAGAACTTTTGGGTTGAAGGTTTTAAGGTGCATTGTGCAACTTTACTAGTAGAGGGTCACTCACCTGCTTGTCTCCATGGGGATGTCATTGCTTGGTTGGAATGTTCCATGGTATGACATTAAACACCTCTATCTATCATCTATTCTTTACGGGCATTTATATTGTTTGAAAATATAATAATTCTCTCTGAATAGGGTTGCCTCTCCATAGTTCTGTCATGTAGCCTATAGTTGTTTCCCTTGGTAAACGGTCACATTTTTATACAGCGCTTTTCCACCTTCAAGGCACTCAAAGCACTTAAGGAACCAATTACTCATTCACGCATTTTCATACAATGTCTGCTCACACTTGGGGTGAAGAGGATTAAGTGTCTTGTCGAAGGACTCAAAGGCAGCATTCATTTCTGGTAACTGGAATCGCACTGCCAACCTGTGGGTCAGTGGATCCTCTCAACCAATGATGTTTATGATTGAACCGCCAACCTTGGATCAGTAGACAGACACTCTATCAGCTGCACTAGTTGACTCCCTTGAGCTAGACCATCTAACATTGTAGACAAAGCAACAATATCTTCATGAAGACAAGCAGGTGGTGGACCCTCCACCAGAAAAGTTGTGCAATGCACCTTTAAGGTAAAATGTGTGTGTCTAAAAACCTGACACTGTACTAGTTTTGTCATAATCTGTCAAGGTGAAGCAGGGCTACCATCTGCCCTAGCATCTGTCCTAGCGTACAATTAAATGGAAGTATTGTCAAACAAATTCATAATGAGTTGTTTGGGAAGTGTCACAACAATATTAACAATTCATTTAAAATATTACATTTTCATACACTGGTGACTGACAATCCTAACTCAGGGGGAAAAAAAACAAAAAACAAAACTCCAACTGATCTTGAGCTAACAAAAAATACAGACATATTCATCATTAATAAGTTAAGTACTGAGTTTAATCAAAAGTGTGGTAAAGAGAAATAGAGTTTCAATTAAGTTTTTTAAGTTAAATTAGTACTATTTTAATACATTATCAACACAATAACGGTTGAAATATAATGACTGAAGGCTTCCTTTTTCCTTTATTTATAAATAAAGTCAATTATTTTTATTTTATTCTATTTATTTATTCATTTTTTTTGTAATCTTTGATTTGTTTCATTCAAATGCACATTCGGTTTTAGAGTCTGTATTTTTCAGATGACACGATTATCAAAACTAGAAAAGCACTCAGAGAGCGCAGACCTCCGCCAAGGACTACCCCCATTTTTTATATAAACTGCGATAAAATCAGTCTTCTGGATCAGATCAGGATCAGCCTTTGGAATATGAAAGAGGATCCCATTGTCCATCCCTGAGTCAAATTTCATGGGGTTTGGTCAATAATTAACCGAGATATTGAGAAACAAAATTTTTGGCCCCATTTACCACAATGTTAACTAAAATTTCAAAGTGATCCAGAATCCAGGATTTCTTCCGGATCACCCCCAAAATGAAATCAGTTCTTCCTTTTCACATTTCCAACAAATCCTGAAAATTTCATCAAAATCGGTCCATAACTTTTTGAGTTATGTTGCTAACAGACAAACAGACAAACACCGGCAAAAACATAACCTCCTTGGTGGAGGTAATAAGACTATGATTATTTTTTCCTAGTTGAATAGCCACCATTAGTCTGCTGTTAATCGCTGTACTCTTAAAGGGTAATCTACCTACATTTGGCCACTGACCAAACCCCAACACTACACTGGATTCATTCAGGACACAGGACACAGGAGGTTCATAAGTTTTGAATCTTTCCCAAAACCTGAAGAGTTTTAGTGGGCCGGTAACTCAACTCACCACGATAGCTGTGCCTGTATTTTGAAAAATTGCATAAACTTGAAGACTCCAACACCCAGGCCTGCCAGGTCCACTGAGTCTACCCACAGTGGGGTTCTGGAAACAGCTTACACTGCACGACCTATAAAGCACATTAGCAAACTGCGAGGACAGAGTATGGGACACTACAGCGACACACACACACACACACACACACATACAGTAACAGTCTTCCTCTGGACGTAGCACCTGGCAGGATCTTGACAATTAAGCTAACCACCAACTGGCCCCTCGCCTCCAGGAGTCACCGGCACCACTGCGCACACACACGGTAGCGCTGGTTTCGTTAGCATATAGAGGTGAGAGGTGAGCCAATCAGGCCTGTCTCTGCTGTTATTCTGGCTGCTGCTAATGACTAGAGCTGCACAATGTGACACGTATGAGGAATGCACTGCTGTCCTCACCGGGACACAGGGCCACAATGAAGATGGATCGGCTCAGGAGAGGAGTACGACTAGAATAGAAGGTTTGAAGCAACTTTGAAACCAGGTGGTAATGTAAAGATGTGCTGTAAAAGTATTTTAAATATAATAACAGAGTTCATTTAAGGGTGAGAAGTGAGACATATTTCAAAAATGGATAGGCCTAATATTGCAATTATTGTTCTGACCTATATAAAATTTTAATACTGAGTGTATTGAGACACTTGCACACCACCCAGAACATTTATAGGCATATTCCTGATGCTTTCTGAAAATCTTGAAAGTATAAATTTTTCACACACTTCTATAAAGTTGCTGTACCTGAGTGTAACCATTTTCTAATTGTGAAAACAGATCTAGTTCATTTTATAATTTTAGCAGCATGTGCATGTTTCACAGCTTCAAAGCTTGTAGCTAACAACAATGAGACAATGTACCTGTACAACGTCGGGTTTGTAAACACTAAAAAGCTTTACATTTAGATGCATCTGTGGATAATGTTTTGATTTTTTAACCATAAGAGCTTATTTTACAAAATACTGTACTGAGGCAAAACTGATTTCGGGTACAAACAAAAAATAAACAGTGGATAGAGGAATTCAATGAACTAACTATTATGAGTTCTTTTTTAAATGGTTGGCAAAATAACATTAAAAAAGTTATGGCTGTTTTGTATTGCTTTGTATCATACAAGGCCAAGGATATCAAATTTAGCTACAAAAAAGAAAAGTGACTTTTTTTTATGTAAAATACTATGGTGTGGCTCGATGGATTCACGACTGTACTTCTAGGTTCCAGGTTTGAATATATTAACTGTGTTGTTTTCTCACCTTCAAGCCTAACCACCAGCGGCACCTTGAGCTCCAGTTCTCGACAGGCCTTGGTAATGCCGTTGGCGATGATGGCACAGTTCACGATTCCTCCAAAGATGTTGACTAGGATGGCTTCAACCTAAGCGAGAAGAAAGAAACAGAAGTTCAAAAATTGTACTTTGAAAGTCGATACCTTTAGCTAGACACAGAATACAGTCAATCTAGAGAATTAGTAATAAAAATCTCAGCAGGATACACTTCCAAGATAAACTCTTATTACAACTTGGGCTGTAACCTTCTGGAAGTGGCATGTCTCCTTCATGATTCAATGAATATAAAAAGTTAAAAGCATACATTTTTCATTGCAATAGAAAAGTTTTAGGCCATACTCTGCAATATTATAGCAAAAGGAACAACATTTTCATGGAAACAAGCAGGAGGAGAGCCTACTCATCATAAGGACACATTTTTCTACACTCTTCAGTGCTATAAACACAACCAAAATGAACTTTTTTGGACAAAAAAAAAAAAAAAAATCATACTGTGTAAATAGGGAGTTGTCAGTACCGAGAACAACAACCAATACTAAAATTAGATTACTCAATGGTTTTTGAATGTTCGTGATCATAAGTATAGTATAGGACCACAAGACACCATTATAGAAACAACTAATATTTTGTGTAGAAAATTACTTTTCAATGTAATTATATATCAAAGGTTCCCTATCAAGTATCAAAATCGACTTCAGTATAGTGACCACACTACATGACAGAACATATAGAAACATTTAGACACTATTCAAAACTGCAGCATATGTATGTCATAATGTATTTCCCTTTTGCATTTTACAACTGTGTTCAAAGACAATTTACAAAGTATATATACCGAGGGGTAAAGGAAGCCAGTTATCACGCTTCTGTATGTACTTTAACACAATGTAAGCACTTGGTAATTAGCTTGCAAGCTCAGTGGAAAAGTAGACTGAGTGTACACACAGGATTAATCCCCCATGTTTGTTTATAATCACTGCTAATCTGTGAGCGGCCATTTGGATGAGCAGCAGTGTGTGTGTGTGCGTGTGTGTGTGTATGTTGTGTGTGTGTTTTCTATGTGGTAATGATGTTTACAGGGACCACAGATCAAGGGCTTGGATAGCTATCAGAGCAACAGCCATGGCACTGTCCCCTCAGAGCAAGCCAAATGACTGTCTTCCTATGAAGACCAATAGAAAGAATGTACAAATAGAAAAGCAGTAACCCTTCATTTTTGTACTCCAAATCTACTAGATTTTTTTATTTATTGTGAAAATTATTACTAAATTGAGTAAATTATCAGTTGTTCTAATGATATTGCTGTTCAGATTTATTCTATAACAATAACTTAACCAACATGCAATCACATGTTGTTAAAGGTGCACTGCGTCTAACTAAATGATTAAAAATAAGTGATGCTTACTACTGGCTTAAACAGTGATCTCAGAACGCTGGCAGCCACAGGGCCTGACTGTACACTTAATAGTATGTACTGCAGTTAGTTACCTCTGGTTAGCTGCAATCATATCATTTCTCAGCACAGAAATAACTATTTATATATTTTATTAAGTTACTACTCAATGTAAGTTCTCAATTGATGTTGCAATCGTACATTCTGCTGGTAACATGACTCATGACGATTTTAAAACTTTACTGCGGTAATAGACTGTTGAGTAAGAAGGCCGAGACTGAATAGCCTCACTTGAATGCCTATGAGACGATTTGTATGCTTTGTATTCTTGTTTTTCACACATTTACACACATAATATAATACAATATAATTGATATAATAATATAATATAATATAACATAATATAATATAATATAATGGATAAAAGCGAGAAATATATCATTTTCCATCTTTTAAAGGGCCCATATTAAGCTATTTTCTGATCTATGTTACAATGTTTCCTCATCACAAACACACCTGGAGTTGTGTTTTGTTTCATTCACACATGTTTAACACACAGACACTGCATATTTAGACTGTGTTCTTCTCGCAAATGGAAAACTCTGTTCCACCTTGTGACGTCATGTGGTAATACAGGAAGTGCTCCACTGTGTGTTTAAACTCTATACACTTTCACTTGAATAATTTGGATAATTTCCGCTCTGGAAATCTTTACTGAACAATGCGTAAAAGGTAGTTGTTCACCTGAAAACTACTACTACATGACATCACAAAGTGAAACTGAGCATTTTAAGTTTTGTCGATGCAGACAGAGTAATGAAAAGAACTACTCAAACATGTGTGAATGAAACAAAACAACTCCAGGTATGTTTTCAATGAGGTAACACATTATAACATGGCTTAAAGCTCACAAGAGTCAATTTTGTGTAATATCAGACCTTTAAAAGAAATAGAAGTGTTAGAAAAAAAACTCATTCACCTTGCTTAAAATGACAGAGGAGTGAATAAATAATGCATTGAATTGTTAAGCAACCTTAAAAAAAAAAAGTTATTACTGTAGATTCCTTCACTACTGACAAATTTGACTATTTTAAGAGACATGACAAAACATGACAGACATGAGAAAAAAACAAACAAACAAAAAAAACACACACATGCACACATTAATACTCCATACACATATTTATGCAAGGAAATAGCAATACTATTTATTATATTATTGAAATGAGACTGCCTGATTTCCAAAGCAGTTTTGAGGACGTATTCATATAGTGTCCCTGGGCCCACTCACGAAATCTATATTCACTATGGAATATTCAAATACAGGTAAAAGTGACTTATTCAGAATACACAAACATTACAATATGTATGTGTATTCTGAATAAGCAATGTGAATAAGCCTGGCTCTACTATGCAGCACTCCATACAACCTATTCTTTATACAGCACAGATCTAAATACATTAACACAATTGTGGCACAGAGCAGCCACTGGGGGGCAATAGAGTTTCAGACGCCTCGTGAAGCTGCACGGGGGAAGTCTCTATTCTCTCTATATATCTGCAGACCATTTTTCAACTCTGCCTCTTTTGGGAAGAACCATATTTCTTCCATTCATGCGTCTCCTATTGACAGCCATGTATATTAATGATACATAGGACGTGATTTATGCTGCTTGGCACAAAAGTAAATGCAGTTTATAGAAATATGGATGTAGCTGGGAGTTGCACTTTGCTGCAAGTTTGTCTTTTTGTAATTTTTCTGGTTGAGCTTTCCATGCACTACAGCAGCTATTGTGGGTTGCATCAGAAAATATATGTGAAGCTTATTATTGAGTTACTGTTAAGAAGTTGGGGACAAAGTAGCCAAAAATAATAAAATGGTTCAAGAAGTTAACATTATTTAGCCCCAAGGTAGTATCACTATTGGTATTTTTATGGAGTGGGTTTCTATTACCTGTTGTGAGGAAGATGATTGTGAAAGGTGCTATGTGTAACTTTTCTGGTGGTCGTCCGTCACTAACTTGTCCTCAGGGGGATATTATTGCTTTGCCTTGTATGTTCCACACTATGGCATTTAACTTTAAAGGGTAAATGGTCACATTTTTATATAGCGCTTTTCCACCTTCAAGGCACTCAAAGCGCTTTACATCAAGGAACCATTCACCCATTCACACACACATTCACATACCAGTGTACACAGACACTAGTGGAGGTGGGTTAAGTGTCTTGCCCAAGGACACAATGACAACATTCCTCTGTGGGAGCTGGAATCGCACCAGCCAGCCTATGGATCGGTGAATCTGACCGCTCATCCAATGATAATGTTTTTTTTTTTTTTTATGTTGAGAGTAGGATTTGAACCGTCAACCTTCAGATCAGTGGACAAACAATGACAACCAACTGAGCAAATTCACCTTTAAATCATGTTATAATGGTGTTACCTTCTCAAAAACACACCTACAGTTATTTTTGTTCCATTCGCACCCTGCATTATTAGTCTGTTTACATCAACAAAACTCAACTTTCTCTGTTCCACCTTGCAATGTCATGAACTGGTAATGTTCAAGATAAAAGCGACCTTTAGTTCAGTAGAGACAAATCCAGAGCTGAAAGGATCCTGTACTACTACATTGCATCACAAGGTGGAAAGTGTTTTCAGAGTGTTTTCAGTTTGTAATATGCAGGATTTGTGTGTTAAACGTGTGGAAAAAAAAAACAAAAAAAAAAAAACAACAACAACAACTCTGCATATGTTTTTGATGAGGAAACAGCTTTATAACAGATCAGAAACTAGCGTCTGCTTGCCTCGATTAGAATTGGAATTAAATAAGCTTAATGTCATACTGGAACATCCCAGGCAAGGCTCTTGTGTAAAAAGAGTATCTGGAAAACAATAACAGCAAAGAAGTCTTAAATTACTTTAGAGTTGCATAGTTTACATCCTGTCCTTGTAATAATCTCTAAAAAAGTGATTTCGGGTACAAAACATCTGGAGCTGAATGGACTGGATGAAAAACCAGAGCTAAATTTAGGTCCTGGCATGATGCCCTTTGCAATCAAAAGTCCGACTTGGCTCAGCTCCATTGAGGCGCTGAGTGTTTCGGAAATCCTATCTTCAGGTATGAAATGGCGGCGCACACTCCAATCCGCCTGAAATCTCCTGTGTCTCAGTGGGGAGAGTTGTCGCGGCGGCCACAGACTCCCTCCTTAAAGGTATTCATTTCAGGTAAGTTGGCAGCAGGTGGATTTCTTTCATCAGAGCTCAGCATAAAGGCACGGGCCGTAATGTAGCAGCTCACGCTTTTCAGGGGATCTGTGTGCAGCAGTATGGGCCGAGCCGCCGCCTTATGTGCGCTGCTCAAATGACTCCCATTTCACAGAACAGGATCAGTGCGGCTGCCGGAGCCAGCCCCACAAGGCTTTTTGTGTCACAGGTAAAAAGCACCTTTTCTGTCTGCTTTTATCAACTCCATTGCCAGGTTGAGGAGAAAGAAATCTCACTCAACTGAGCATTTTGAATATTTAATGTAAAACTTCAATTAAATATATTATTACAGTCCTATACCAATTCTCCACATAGTATAAACAGATTTCTGGCTGAGAGGCAGGAGCACTGTGGCATCTTCAAAAAAGTCACTTTAAACTTCTTGTTCTGAATGATGTTGCACTTGATGATTCATCATAGTGAAAACATTG